CTCTTTTATCTTTTTTCCTTGTTCTTTTTTATCTTCTCTCTATTTTTATTTATTTTTATGAATTTATTAGATGGGTATAGGACTCCAATTGCTTTGAGCACCTTCTTGTCCTCTTTGTTTATTGTATTTAAAAATTATTTCTTTGTTCTCGACTGGATTTAATCTCTGAGCACTTTGCATTTGATCTACCTTGCGGTTCCTTGTTATTCCTCTTTATTTCATCGAGACTTGCCCATGTAATAAAATTGGATTGACGATCCTTACTCCTGCGAGTAGATATCCTTCACCTTCCCCCCAAATATGGAGGGTGATCCATGGTTAGGGTTGAATCCGAAGAAAAATAATTATGGCTCAAATGGGGACAACAAGGGATATATTTTCTCTTTTTGTGGAGGGATAAATGAATGAAGGTCGTTCATCACTTCATACACAAAAGTCCTTGTAAGAAGAGGTATCCCCATGGGGGTGAATATTCAGGATTAAATTTTATTTACATGAAAACAATGTAATTAATGCATAATAGAATTATTTAAATCATTCACTTTATTGTTTTCTTGTTCTTGCATATAGTATGCCCTAATTACTCGAGCTTCTCTTTAACAAGTTGATCTATGATGCCCCATCTCGTCTCTTCTTGCAGGAAGATTCACAGACTAATAAAAACTTTACACTTGAGGTTTTTCGGTTTCACTGGTATAAAGAAGAATGATGGTTTTGTATCTGAAAAGACAAAGGTATGACTTTGAAGTCGTGTATATGGGGGAAGCTAGTGTTATAAAAAGAACGACTCTTCCCGGGAAGGTGAAAGTATGAATTTGGTGTCTCGAAAAAAAGGTAAAGGTATGACTTCGGAGTCTTAAATAAATGTAGTGTCGAAATTTGGTTTTGGTAGCAACCATGAATTATGTAAGGTAAAAAAGATCAAATAATTGTGTTTTTGTCTTTGGAAGAGATATGAAAGGTCTAATTTTACCACTTGCCAAAGATTTATAATTCTTGAAAAATTAAAAGAATATTTAATTAATTTTATGCTCAAAGAACTAACGAATTAAAAATTTGATTAATTTCTCATATCCTTAAAAGTAGCATAAGTTCAATCAAAAATTTTTTTTGATAAAATATTTAGGTAAATAAAGTAAAAAAGAAAGAGAAAAAAAAAACTCAAACAAGACAGTGCAAGAGAAATAAAGCTTCGTGATGGATGAAATGGTCTTTTCCTAATTAAAAGCACCATTACTCATCCGACATGTGGGTGCTCGACTAGATCTTTAGGGTTGTTACAATATGATGTTCCACTTGCTCATTAAAACCATGTCTTTGAATCGATCAGATCCTGTAACTTGCTCTTTGGTATTCCACAGTTCTTAATGGCATGCCCCAAGCTTCTTATCCATGTCTTTCAAACCTTCTTTAGGAACAAACAAGATGGCTTCAATTTACCTTCAATATTTCTTGAGCAAGATTCTCCACGAGGTACTACCAAGATCCGCGACTAATGCATGTTAAGATGCAATGTATATTATGCAATGTAGGACGTATATATGTCAATGTAAAGATGCAAAAATGCACATACGAAAATACATAAATTGGACACAAGCTTCAATTCTCTTACAAGGCTAGCTACATCAATCAACTTATGATCCACATTGTTTTTTTTTCATTTTGTCATCTTTTTCTTTCATCTTCTGTGTCAATTCTCAGAGCTGTAGACAATGTTGTTCATTTTTGCTTGCAAGAAAGTCTTTGTGGCTGCTAATTTCTCGTACAAGATCTCCATAACCATCTATAATCTTCATCAATGTCTCGTTCTTGGCTATAGTGATTTCTAGCTCAACATCATTCTCAGGCTTGTGGCACTGATATAAAGCTTCTATATTGGTTATGGACATATTCAACATCTGATTTTTAGCTTGACATCTTCCCAAATCATTAACTGTTGTATTGCACCATTATTCTACAATCCGTAAATCAAGAGATGACTTCTTGGCTCGACCTTCATGAGTCCTGCAATTTTTTCTCTTGTGTTCAGCGTCATTTTTCAGTTTAGTGACCCCCTTTTGCCAACTCTTGATCTTCATACTTTAGTAGACCTTATTCCTCTTGGATGCTTCTACTGCTATCTTTACCTTTGAACGCTTTTGGATCCAACCTAACAGGACAATCAGTTACCAAACTAGGTCGACCTTTCATCTCGAACTCCATGATCTAAAAGGTTCTATACTTGATGCTTGAAGGTGGTGCAATTCTCAATGGCATGTCCTTGAGCTCCTCTCGACTTATATTGAACTGGAGTCTTCAGGTTTATTTCTCCTGACGTTGGGAGCATACTCTCAAATGACCACAAGTTCTGATTACTGGGCTTTATTTCATCTTTCTAAACATAGTTGTCACCATTTTCTTGGGGTCTCTAGACAATTTGTTGATACGAATCGTGAATGTGTGTGACTTCTAAGATTGGCTAGGATTAACTTGCTCTAAAGCAGTCTCTTGTGTATTTAACGTCACAGGATTGTTTTCATCGAGCTCTTTTCTTTCTCTTGTAGAAGTCATTTTTTCCTAGACTAGAGCAACTAATCTATCCATCCTCTTGGACATTTTCTTTTTTATCTCTCTTATCACCTTTTGCTCTTCGTCGGACATACGATCTTTAGGTGCATAGTTCTTCACTATTCTCGGAGTCCCCTCAAGATGCCATTCTCTAGCGATGTTATAGTTTACTTGATTATGAAACTCTTTGTCCATCATGAAAAGCTTTTACTCTGATGATCACTCACAAATCAACACCTTTTGATTATGTCATGATCATACGATGCAAGCAAAAAGAAAAATAATCATAAAAACAACGTTAATACAAAATGAAAAGAATTACTACAAAAATAATCAAAATGAATTAATAAGCTAATACAAAATCAACATGCCAATGCAGATGCAAATGCAAATACACAAGGTGTTAATTCCTAAAAGCGACCACCATAGAACAACCTTCATCAGACCATGAGTGCTCCTTAAACTAGAAAGCCTAGCTTCATTTTCTTTTTTTACTTGGTCTAAGCACTTCTTACGATCTGATGTTGTCTTTGTAGTTGTTGTTCGACTTTTCAAAGTGTTAACCCACATTTCTTCATTTTAATTCACCCATTGTAAATTTCCATTTTCATGGGACTCTCCAAGAGGAATTCAACCTTGATATCTTACGAAGGATCTTCTTACTCTTGACCCAACTATCATCTGGCTATTTGATACTATCATGATCTTTGTTTATTTAATAGGAGTCTTTGATCGAATTTGAGCTCTTCTTTCGTCGCTCAACTTTGTTTGTGAGTCATTGCCCTTCCGGATTTGACTATCTATCTATGAAACTCTTATATCGATATGAAAGCCTTCTGATTTGATCAATCACTTGTGAATTAACACCTTGTTTGGTTATGATGTGAAAATGAAAATGCAAACATAAGCCAAATAAAAATAAGATAAAACAAAAGAAATTGTTAGTACCACTTAACTAAAAAGCAAAAAAAAAATTACGAAATGAAAAGATCCTACCCAACATGGTATATATCCTGACATGATTTTATAACAGTCACTACTAGAAAAAAAACCCTTTAATAACGCGCATTGCACGTCATCTATGGGTGCGGATGACACACAAATGCCTGTCGTTGAAGCTACCGACATAAATATCAGATGACGCTCAATTATGAGTCATAAATCTATGACTCACATTTATGACACGCATTTATGACGCTCATTGCGTGTCATTGAAGCCTCCGTCATAAATGAAGATGACACACATTTGTGTGTCATAAATTTATGACGCGCATTTATGACTTACATTGTGTGTCATTGAAGCACATGTCATTAAAAATGATGACACACATTCGTGTGTCGTGATTGTATGTCGTAAATTATATATATATATATATATATATATATATATATATATATATATTGTATATTGACAAATAATCAAACTAAATCACATTTAATACCTCATAATACTAAATATATATATCATATTATATATAAGCAATCTATTTGCATACAATATATTTAAATTAAGTTATCAAAACTATTGTAATCATATGTCGATACAAAATATCATGAAATAATAAAGTTAGTCACATAAGATACCCATTCTTTGCGAATATATCAATGTCATCATCCGTGTATTCTTCATTCCCATCGCCAACCTAAGTAAAAAATATGAAATAAGTATATGACCATCGAAAATAAGTTGAAAGTATAGAAAAACAAAAGATGTGATCTCAAACTAACAACTATATGATAAGTAACAAGTATGTAATATTATATAGTCCATAATATCATCAAATCTTGCAAAAATGATTTAGACAGTTCAGAGCACCTTTGCGAATTTCCCACTAAAAACAGAAAGTACCACTTTCCAGAAAGCTGGTATATGTTGTACAAGAACAGCGGTTAATCTTTTGATATATTTTCCTCTAAGAACGTCAACTTCTTCACCAGTTAAGGCCAGCGGTTGCAATTTTATAGGCAGTTCAAAGTTCCTAAAAGTTTAGTTGGCATCCGACTGAGTAGTAAAAAAAAGTATACATAAAAAAAATCTCATAGTTAGGCAGAGAACCAAGACTTTTTCCTCATACAATTATCAGACCACCGTTCTAGCTAGTAGCACTTACAGAGTTTATTTGAATTTGGAGCCACTTTGCGTCTCAGATGGCTCTTTCACGTAACTCATTATGCAATGTTTCCATGCGTACTTCATGGTCTGAAGTACACTTCTCAAGCAACCCTCAAATTCTATGATTCTATCAAATAAAAAACATAACATTTCAGAGACTTGACCTCGGAAGTAGATGATTTTAAGTAAGTCAAGTTGGTAGCATACTTTTGAAATGGAACATATTATCAAATTCACGTTACTTGAATAGCAATTCAACTCAAAAATATTTGTTTAAAAGAACTCTAGAGCTAGCATTTTGATTCAAAAATTGATTCGATTAGAAGCACTCAAGAGCTTCCTAGACTCTACTCTCATCAAATTCAAGATGATCAGCAATTTGAAGTAAACCATATCTGCTAAAACTAAAATCAGAATAAGGAACCAATGTGAAATGGATTATAGGCTTACCAATAGCAGCAGTTATATTGGACGTAGTCATAATTATAACATTGGGAGCTGATTTCAGCTTATCCATCTGAGTTAATAGCGCATTTACAACCTAAGGTACATTTTCAAGTTGTATTCGGTCTAAATTTGAGGTAAATATACTCATATAAAGATGTGTATTTAAGAGAAAAAATATAAAGAAGTTTAATTGCTTGCACAAAACTGTTACCATAATGGAATCTGAAGGTTCAGAACTAGACAAAGCAACATTTCTAGCAGCAGCAAGACTTTCAACTTCATCTACGGTAGCAACATCATCATATATCTAAAAAGTCATAAGCTATAAAAACTAGAAATGATAAAAACCCTAACTTCAGTAATAAAAGACTCACCAATTAGAACAAATACCAGATTGTGTTCTTCCTCCACCATTTCTTGATTTTTTTGGAAAAGCTTTGCAACCTAAAGTTTAGGACCAGAGTTAAGAATGTAAACTACATACCATTAACATCCAGGACGTCATGATACTTCTGTCATAAGTTCAAAAAATTGATACAGAAACATACCAACTTGCCACTCTCAGAAAACCATTTACTAAGCAATGAATGTGCATTAACTTCGATTAATTGGCACTGTGGATATCTGACTAAAGAATGGTAAGCCAAAAATAAAATCAGCTAGAACTAACCATCTCACAAGCTAATGTATAAGGCCTTAAAGTGATATATGCTTTGGACACAAAAATTAACAAAAGACTTGGAGCTGAATCTAATGGATAATTTTTGTGCCAGTGCTTTGCATAAAGATGTCTTTCTTGTCCCTGGAGGCCCATGTAAAAGAATAATGCTGTAGGAAAGAAAAATCATTGATCAGATTTTTGTGATACTACTATTATCAATGCCGGTAATCAATTGAACTTTCCTGTTAACTAAATGAAAGATAATTAGAGAAAATATCGAAGAAGAAACCAATATTATCTGCTGCTAACAGTCTTGAACCAATGACCAGTAGACCATATGAAGCCTTGCTTCATCCTATTTCTAGAAGTTGCCCACGGTGCAATATCATGCAACAGGAGAACTGCCAAATTCGTGAAAAGTTTGAATTTTGAAAAGTAAGCATGTATATTTATATAGATCATAGATGCGTAGTAAGTTTTCTCCCTCTCTATAGAGCTTTGCATCATCAAGGATACGAAACTATAACAAAGTGGTATTGTCAAGCAATAAGTATGAACAAGTAAATATGCATAATGTTGAAAGATGGACAACAAGTTGATAATTCAAAAGCCAACATCTAGAATGTTCTATTTGAAGTTTTAGTCATACTAGATAAGATTCCAACTATGAAAACCCCAACTGAAACAATAATCAGTTTGCTCATTACTATATAAGGATCATCGTACTAGTTCTGAAAGAGAGAAATGACGCTTCATTTTCTTCTATTCTTTTTTGGAACAAAACGATACTACTTTATTGAAAGTCATGAGGAGGTTCCATACCGATTCCATGACACAAGGAAAGGATCAACACCCTTTTCAGTGAAAAGTAATGCACTGGCTGCATAACGCAATAAACGCTGCTTTAGGCCAGATTCATAGATTAAGCTGCACAATCAAGTTCCAAAATCAATATAAAAACTAATCCAAACGTTCAAGAAAAATGGAAGCTGTAGACAAACCTTTCCCACATGCCATCAAATTCCTTAGCTGGTAGGATCCATTCATTGAAGCTATACAACTGGCCATCCACAGTTAATTCCTCACATGGTCCCTCCTCACTAAGCTAACAAGTCAAGAATCATATCCATTCAACTTTAAATAGACAACATTAAGTATAAACTGAAGATTCGATCAGACATTTTTCAATTTAAGCAACCACACAAATGTTGTATCAACATCCTCTTCTACAAACTCAAGTAGTTGTTCATTTGAAATGTGTTTCAATTTCAAACAAGGTGTAGACAAACATTGCTAAGTCAATTTGTTGGAAAAAATGAGCAAAATAATAATAAAAAAATGATAAACTTTTAACCTTAATAAAATCAGAGTAGCATGGTACCTGAAAGACATGACCAACATGTTTCACTTGCCAGAACAAAAGAATATCATGGCTTTTAACCCATTCATCTACACAACAAACAACATGAACAATATGAGTACATCATAACCCCTCATCCTCCGTACATAAACAATGGAACTCTTAAACTAAAATATGATTATCAAGATAGATGAAAACTTTAAAGTGTAGAGACAAAATGATAGCATAAAAGAAGAGAGAAAAAAACCTGTGTCACAAATACAGATTCTGTATACATTTTCCATGAGAAATTGATCATCGTTAGGAACAGGTATGGGACCATCAATGTAGCTCAGGCTTCTCTTTTCAAGCTTTCTGATTGCAAAACAGAAAAATTTACTTTCACATTTCAGTTAAAACCCCCAAACCCAACCGTAATTAATTTAAAATTAAATTATTCTTACAACATAAGCATCAAACAATAGCCATCATCAGTTAACTATTTTTAAATAGATAAATAAAGCAAAATCATTTTAACATCTTACTGTTCAACGACTTTTTGGACATCATCAGGCCGAGCTGTGCTTGAAGGTTTTAAGCAAACTTCAACTGGCATTAAAAGAATAGATGTATTACAAACATAAATCATCGCAAAAAAGAATCAGATTTGCAAAAAGAGTGAGACTGAGAAATAACCGGAAACATGAGACGGAAATGTAGGAAATGGAGGTCGGTGTTGGTCAAGAAAAGGAAAGCGATTTTAGGGGAGGAGGAGGAGGAAGAGAGGTGGGATGAGGCGAAGGGAGAGACGGTGGTGCGGTGGAAGGGACGAGGCTGGGGATTCAAACTCAGACCAAACAAAGAGAATGAAATAAGTGGAAAACATTAGGCGTGAGGGGGAAGAAGCGGGAAAAGATGAAAATAATGGTGAAAATTAAAATATGACTTTTACATATGACACATAATTAAAAAGTGTACTCCGTATTTTTGTAAAATTTTTGGATTATGACTATTAAATATGACACACATTATTGTAAGTCATAAATCTTTCAGATTTTAAAAAACATGACATTTTTATGATACATATTTTTTACAAGTCATAAATTAGCGTGTGTCATCGTTCGTGTGTCATTAAAGGTATATTTTCTTGTAGTGAGTTCTACCCAGACATATTTTCTACCCCATGCTTTGTTATTTACAAAAAATAATCTTAACTGCATGATATCTAATTCACAAACTTCGTACGGAAATATAAAACTTAACCACATACTTTTCTGGTTCTCATGCTTTTTGCAAAATAAGTAAACAAATTCGAGAAAAAGGTTAGAGTGAGTTCCCCTTTTTGTGAACTTTGAAGACTCTCAGGCAGAAATTCAATACAAAATGAGGAGAGTTTCGGTATTACTAACAGAGTCCTCGGATTGTCCTTTAATGGTGCCCCCTAGGGCCTGCCAGACCCTTGATCCTCACCCGTTATAGGCTAAAACGGATCAAGTTCAATTTGAGAGGATGCATTTCCCTAAGTCCATGCGAGGAAACTCAATGTTTCACTTGTAAACACGAGGCTTATGTACCCCAAAGGTTACTTGCTAAAGCCCATGCGGAGAAAAATATTATTTCTCACGTAAGTGTAGGGTTCACTCCTACCTAACGGGACAGAGCACATTTAGAAGGCTCTAAGTATCGAACGGTTGTAGTGCGAGTGGGGGGAAACTCACAATCCTTCACCTTGATCCAAAAACAAACAGACCAAAACAAAAGTCAAAAATCTGAAACATGTAAATCACATATTAGTACAACTAATAAATAAAAGATGTACAATGTGATGTAACCAAAATATGAGGATCAAAATTTACAAATCATTTGATTTTACCATTTTCAAGTAAAAAGATGACGTATAATCGATTACGGTCTGACTCTCTAATATCCCCAGCGGAGTCGTCAAGCTGTCGGAACGATCCTTAAGCTCTATGAGGCTATGACGGGGATCGATCCAACTTAATCCTGGAAAATAGTTAGGTTTTAAAATAAAGAAGAAATAAACAAATTTGGAGTCTCCATCGACCTTTGGCTTAGGTAGATCGAATACCTAAAAAATATGTTTTAAAATAATTTTAAGAAAAATAATTTTAAAAGATGAGTAGATTACGTGTGGGGAAGGATTAGCACACCCACAACGCTCGAAATTGGTACCTAAGCGATTATACGTAATCTAAATATTGAAATTGGTAATTTCGGATATACATTTAAATTATGATCCTTTTTAGAAAAATATCAGGGGTATTATTTTGCACGAACAATTTTTGAAAATACCTTCCTTGTCAGTTAAGGGGGCTCTTCCATGAATTCCTCGTACAAAATAATATTGCCCAAGTTTTTTGATAAAACACATGTATTAAATATATTAAAACAAAAATTCATTCAAAAATAAAATATATTATTTTGTTCCAACAATTCTTGGAAACACATTCCTTGTTAGTTAATGCGGGTTTCTATAAATTCCTCGAGTTAAATAATATTTGAAAATATTACAACTAGCGAGTAATTGACAAATATATAGACGATGGATCAAAATAATAAAAATAGTGACTTTAGGGATTAAAATATACAACCAACAAAAATAAAGGCAACCATTGTAAATATTTCACAATTCAAGCACTACAATCCTAAATACACCAACTTTAATCATTCAAGACCAAAATGAAAATTATTAAAGTAAGGCACTCAAATTAAAATATTTCTAAAAATAAGATAACAAGTGAAATGGGACTAAAATGAAATAAAAATAAAAACAATATCCAAATCATAAACCATAAGTGACTAAGATGTATAAATTGAAGATATTGTATTTAAATTATAATTAAATAATAAATAAAACCCAAACAGTGGCTAAAATGAATAAAAACAAAAACCAGTGACAAAATTCGAATAAATCACAATAATAAAATGACTAAATTGAAACAAGAACAAATTATAACACAAAACTAAAGAAAGAAAATAAACAGAGAACTAGTGACCAAAATTGAAAAACACGCATGAAATATAAGGACCTGGATGAAAATAAACCAAAATGTTAGTGCTAAGAAATAAAAAGGTAAAATCACTAAATTAGTCCTTAAATATTTTTAAAAAATTAAACAGTCACTTCACATGACAAAAATGTAAAACATGCCTAAAAGTACATGGACTAAATAGAAATTAAACCAAAAATATATAACATGAAGCAGAAATGGATAAATCACAAAAAAGGTCCCTACTGGTGACCATTTTGTAAAAACACACCTAACTTATAGGGACCTAAGTGTAATTTCTCCTAAAGTTTTCTATAAATACAAGCTTTTTTCTTTTTTTCCATTTTTCTTTTAAATTATTTTTAGAGAGAGAGGTTTCCCCTCTCTCTAGAAAACTGATCAGTTGTTGGTGGCTTACTTTCGTCGGCCGCCGTCTCTTCTGTTGACAGTTGTCGTCGCCGCCGTCGGTGGCCCACCGAGAGATCCACCTCGACGTGGGTAGTCTGGATCAATGTAGTCCGGATCTATGATTTGTTTTGCGATAATCGACCCAAAGTTCCACAAAAATGGTCGAGAACTTCTCTGCTTCCACCTTCCCGATCTCCGCCGTACATCTTAGGATCGTCGTGATATTTTGGTATGTTGGTCTCCTCGCCCTTGCACAGCTCCTCACCATTCGGATCTTCAAATGGGGTCCCTCAATGCCGATGAAGCTTCCGACCGAATGTATCTATTCACTTTCCCTCTTTTTTAACTTATTATTTTCATTCGAAATGAATATATATATATATATATATATATAATATTGGTGTTTGATTTATGAGAAAAAAGATCATAAAAAAAATTGTTTCATATCATTGCTTGTAAAAAAAAGGAGAACCCCTATTACAATTGTATTCGAATCAGGAGAGTTCTCCTCTTCCCCTTTGCATTGTTGTCCCCCCTCTTTTTTTCGAGTTCCCCCTATTTTTCAAAAAAACCTAGACCCCTCTCCTCCTCGTTTTTCACTCAAATCCCCTAAAACAAAAAAAATCCCCCTTTTCGTTCTGCCCTCCCCCTGTTTTTATCCCATTACATCAAATTATATCAATTAATTGATTGTTGATTAAAATGATGTTGTTGGCAGAGGTGGAGTGTTGCAGTGGGTGGCACAGTGATGGGGTTGACAAGCGTGGAATGGCAAGCACAGTGATGGGGTTACAGTGATGGCACAATGGTTTCACATGGGAGATCAAACTAGGTCCGGGTCGGGTTTGCTTTCTGGGCTCGGATCTTGAGTTGAGTCCTTTGGGCCTTGCTGTAAATGGGCCAGATTTATTTTTGTTTGGCCTGATCAGGCCTGTTTGTAATTTGGGTCCGGTGGGCTCGTTGTACTGGCCTATAAATGAAATAAAATAAACATTAATAATAATAATAATAATAATTATTATTATTATTATTATAACGGGTTCGGGCAAAAATAACTGTCGACAGAAGTGTAGGGAATATTTTTCATTTCCTGAATTTCAATGTCATTTTTAGGACATTGAGTAAGACTAATTTTGTCTCCTTTAGCGATAGGGGTATTAGCTGGTTTACTATTTTGCATGTCAAGCATTTTAAGTACTTTATCGATGTAATTCTTTTGTGATAATACAATAATACCCTGAGATTAGTCTCGATGTATCTGGATTCCTAAGACAAAAGAAGCATCACCAAGATCTTTCATTTAAAAAAGCTTAGACAAAAATCTCTTGGTTTCATGTAACAAACCTATATCATTTGTGGCAAGCAAAATGTCATCGACATATAGAACCAGAAATATATGCGTACTCCCACTGAACTTGAAATATACACAATCATATTCATCTCAAAACCGAACGAGATAACTACTTGATGAAACTTGTAGTACCATTTACGAGAAGCTTGCTTAGGTCCATATATGGATTTAGTTAATTTACAAAATATATCCCTTGGATCTCTCAACTCAAAGTTTTCCGGTTGGACCATATAAATTGTTTCTTCAATGTTGCTATTTAGGAACGCAGTCTTAACATCGATCTCGTGTAACTCAAGATCAAAATGAGCAACAAGTGTCATTATTATCCTAAAAAAAGTATTTCAATGAAATTGGAGATAATGTCTCTGTAAAGTCAATGCCTTCCTTTTGAGTATATCATTTAGCTACAAGACGCGTCTTATACCTCTCTACATTACCATATGTATCCATCTTGGTTTTAAATATCCATTTGCAACCAATTGGTTTTGCACCTTCAGGTAATGGGACAAGTTCCCAAACTTTATTGTCTTACATGGACTTATACTCTTCTTACATGACATCAATCCACTTTTAAGAGTTAATACTTTTCATGGCCTGATGAAAGTTGATTGGATCATCTTCCATCATTTCATTATCATCCTCATTTTCTTGTAGAAATACAATATAATCATTCGGAATAGCATTTATTCTTTGTCTCGTAGATCTCCTTAATGGCACTTGTTCTTGAGGTTGTTGAGTTTGTTCTTCTAGAATAATTACCTCATCTTGAATATGGAGTTGTTCAATTTTATCTTGTTGAGGTTCTCTATTCACTTCTTGATTAATATGTATATAAACTTTAATAACATTAAAAGTGATAGTAGGAACTGAATTAGAACTCAATTGCTCATCAAAAGCAATGTCTTTAACCTTATTTCTCCCTCCAAACTCAACACCCTAAAAAAATATTACATTTTTCGTCTCAAACTTTTTCTTAATTGTGGAATCATAATAGCCAATAAAGTAGTTGCTCACTGTTTTGGAGTCCAATTTATCTTGACGTGGCCTATAAGGCCTTGCCTCAACTATACATCCCTAAATTTGAAAATGCTTTAAACTAGGCTTTTGACATGTCCAATGCTCATAAGGTATTTTTACAGCTGCTTTAGTGTGTACTCTATTCAAAATGCAAACTATTGTCTTTAATGCTTCTCCCCGGAGAGACTTACGTAAAGTAGAATGAGTAATCATACTCCTTACCTTATCCTTAGGAGTCCTATTACATCTCTCAGCTACACCATTCATACTATGTGATCCTAGCATGGTGTACCGTGGGACAATACCATATTCCTCTAGAAATTTAGCAAATGATCTTGGACATTGTTCACCTGATCCATCTTATCTACCGTAATACTCACCACTAGGATCAGATCTGAATTTCTTAATTCTTTTGTTGTGTTGATTCTCAACTTCATCTTTATAAGCTTTGAACACATCCAAAGACTAAGATTTCTAATGAATGAGATATAGGTACCCATAACATGAGTAGTCATCTATGAATATTATGAAGTATGCTTGACCATTCCAGGATATCGTAGGGAATGACCCACAAATATCCGTATAAATTAATTCTAAGACGTATGTTGATCTATTAACACTTAATCTCTTAATTTTGGCATGTTTTCCCTTTATACAATCAACACATACACTGAAATTTGTAAAATTAAGGGACCCCAAAATACCATTAGACACTAAGCATTCAATTCTACCTTTTGAGATGTGACCTAGGTACTTATGCCATAATGATGCTGAATTTTCCTTATTTAATTTTTTTCTTAATACCACGTGTTTTAATGTGTAAGGTTTCATTATAGGATGCAATTATATCTATTAAATAAAGGTTTAAATAACCAGTTCCAAGAACAGTTGAATTTAAAGACAAAATAAATTAATTATTCCAAATGAACAATAATATCCAAATTTTGTCCAATAAAGAAACATAAACCAAATATGTCTAAAAGATGATACACCAAAAGTGTTTTTTAAATCCAAATAATAACCAGTTCCTAATAGCAACCTAAAATTTCCAATTGCTTCTACCTTTACCAATTTTCCATCGCCCACATAAATGTGTCTTTCATCATCATTCGACTTTCGGTAGTTTAGGCAACCCTGCATAGAAACACTTATGTGAGTAGTAGCAACAGAATCTATCCACCAAGTGTTTCTAGGTATTGAAGTTAAATTAACCTCAAAACATACCAAAATAAGAATTATACCTTTCTTTATATGCCAAGCATGATAATTGGTACAGTCTTTCTTCACGAGTCCTGAATTATCACAAAATAAACAACTTTCTTTATCTTGTTTTTGTTTCTTTTGAGTTGGACCCTTAACAGCTTCATTTTTATTTTTCTTTTTCTTGCCCTTATCTTTAGAGGAACATTCCAAATGAGCACTTTTAGTTTTATCTTGCTTCAACCTTTCTTCCTTTTTCACACAATGAGATATGAGCTCATTTAGAGTCAATTTCTCCTTTTGACAGTTGTAACTAGTTTTAAATTGGTTAAAGAAGCACTACCAAAACCATAAGAATGATTAGATCTTCAGAAAGCTCGATCTTACGTGGCTTAAGTTTTGAAGTAATATGAAATATTCCCATTATGTACTCCCTCACATTTCCTTGACCCTTATACTTCATAGACATCAAAGAAGTCAGAAGTGATTTTATCTCAACATTATCATTTTTAGCAAAATGTTTCTCAATTTCATCAAGGAAAACCTTAGCCTTAGTAATCTCTTTAGATTCTGTGCCCTAAAGGCTTCCGGAATGTTGTGTTTCATGATCATCAAACTCATGCGATTTGAACGGTCAATTCTCTAAAAATCCCTTTTTACTTAAGGACTTCTTTTTGTAATGAGAGGTGCATGTTGTTCTTCCCTTAATGCAAGGTCTATGTCCATATAGCGAATCACTATAAGTAAGTGCCTTTTCCATTCCTTGAAATTTTCCCCATTAAGCATGTGAATAGAATTGATATTAGTAGAAACCCTGGCAGCAGAAGAACTAACTAAACAAAATAAAGAACAAGCTCACATAAGCAAACAATAAATTTGAAGTAATGGCTAACTCTCATCACAAGATATCAAACACTACATTAACACCAAGTCTTTGGACAATAATAATAACACTAAACGATACTCTTATTGTAGTAATCAAACATTGACAATAAACTATGTTGAACAAAAGACGAATCTTTGGAATAATGTAATGTTCACATAAAAATACCTTAGAATTGTCACATATTTATTAGCATAGATGTCGCTTGAAATCCGACCAAATATTAACTTTTCTTTAGGTCAATTAATAAACACATGAATTACAAGAACACATAATCATCTTGATATTTCAAATAAATTAACTTACACAAAAGATGTCACTTTGGCAACATTTTGTTTTAACAAATTCACTAAAAGTCGACTCCTTTGTTCGAATTTCTAGTTTATCCTTGACAAGATGAAAGCAAGACTCAATGGTTGGACTACCCGCTCTCTTTCCTTAGTTGGAAAGATCACTCTTGCCAAATCAGTCCTAGCAGCAATCCCGGTTTATTTTATGCAAACTACTTAGCTTCCAGTGAGTATTTACAACAAAATTGATAAAATCACCAGATATTTTATTTGGGGCTCCACTACTACTGGTGTCAGCTCTCTTTCGTTAATTGGTTCAAAGTTTGCCAACCATTTAATAGGGGAGGCTTAGGCATCCATCAAAATCAAGATCATAATATGACTTTTATATGAAAAATCTATTATGCGTTTACCACTCGCCCAAATGACTTTTGGATGCAAGTCTGTTAGGTTTGGCTCATAAATATACCAGTAAAGAGGACAGGGGATGGAGCGGAGTGAGCGAAGAATCAGGTATATCGTGCTAGAACTAAACATATTGATGTAAGGTTTCACAAGATTAGAGAGTTGGTTGTATCTGGAGAGATTTTGTTTCAGAAGGTACATACTGATGAGAATGCCACTGATATGTTCACCAAGCCAGTTATGACAGACAAGTTCAAGCATTGCTTGGACTTGTTGAATATTTCGAGTTGTTAAAGAAGTAAGGTAACCCAACCCACATTGAATGTTTCCTAAGGTATATTGCTGAACCTCGTTAAAATTCTTGTGTTCTTTCATTTTTCTTTACCCGATTCTTCAACAATTGGTATCAGAGTTAAGATGTATGATGGATCTGTTCGTACGTTGAGTGGTGTTCGACATATCCCAGATTTAAAGAAGAATTTGATTTCTTTGGGCACTTTGCACAAGAATGGTTTTATCCATAAGGCTGATGAGGATAGGGAAACCATTCAGATTGTTAAAGGAGCTTTGACTGTGATGAAAGGAAAGATGACTGCAGGGAATATTTACAGATTGTTAGGGAGTACCGTTGTAGGTGGAGTTCATTTGGTTGAGTCCTGTGATGATACTACCAAACTATGGTATATGCGTCTTGTTCATCTTAGTGAACGTGGCTTGGATAAATTACATAAAAGAAATCTGTTGCATGGTGTTAAAAGTTATAAACTCGATTTTTGCAAGTATTGTGTTCTTGGTAAACAGACTAAAGTTCGTTTCAAGACTGCAAAGCACACAACTGAAGGGATTCTTGATTATGTGCATTCTGATGTATGGGGTCCTTCCACGACATCTTCTTTGGGTGGATCTAGGTATTATGTTACTTTCATTGACGATTTTTCACAGAAAGTTTGGGTGTATTTTTTGAAACAGAAGTCTGACATTTTTTAGAAGTTAAAGCTGTTGAAAGCTGAGGTAGAAAACCAAACAGGATGAAAAATCAAGTGTTTACGGTCTGAAAATGGTACGGAGTACACAAATTCACAGTTTCTACACTTCTGTAAGGAGCATGGGATTAAGAGGCATTTTACAGTGCGCAAGACACTACAACAGAATGGTGTTATGGAACGAATGAACATGTCGTTAAATGAAAGAGCCAGATGTTTTCGGTTAAATGTGGGGATTCTCAAACACTTCTGGGTTGAGGCTTTTAACATGACATGTTATCTTATCAATAGATCGCCAAGGGCATCATTGGTTGGGAAAGTTGCAGAAGACGTATGGACTGGTCATGATGTTAGTTTTGATCACTTACGGATTTTTGGTTGT